CGGTCATATGAGCGCAAAGGGGTGGATGTGAACAGAAAAGTCCTTACAGGGAATCAGACTTACTATGCTCACCTCTCTAGCTTCAACAGCACAAAGTCTGTTTCGACTATCAAGGCACCCCGGAAATAGTGGGTCACAAGAGAGTGACAAACATACAAAAGAAGTAGAGGAAAATAACAATAGTAAGGATTAGGAAAGAAAAAGCAGCAGTTCCCTGTTGTAGATCAGGCATATTTATGAGCGTGACATTGATGAATCAGCCCATTTACAGTTCTACTGTGCATGAACGAGAAATGCCCCCTCTTTGGGAATGGCATAAAGACACTTCAGTCAGTGGCACCTCCCCGGGGGGTTGTGTGAGTGTGTGTGCGACAGAGAGAAACAGCCAGAGAGAGAGAGAGACACCGATATATATATATATATATATATATATATATATATATATATATATATAGAGAGAGAGAGAGAGAGAGAGAGAGAGAGAGAGAGAGAGAGAGAAAGATGGATAAATAGATAGATAGATAGAGAGAGAGAGAGAGAGAGAGAGGGAGAGAGAGAGAGAGAGAGAGAGAGAGAGAGAGAGAGAGAGAGAGAGAGAGAGAGAGAGAGAGAGAGAGAGAGAGAGAGAGAGAGAACAGAGAGAGAAGAGGACTACAGGAATTAAAACAGAAGGGGGGAAAAGGAGAAGATCTACCACCCAGAGACAATGGCCTACACTGCAGGGCATTTGGCGTAAAATGCTCTGGCACTCGAGTCCGTGGATCACGCACGACTTAAGCGTCCACGAGAGGAGATCTCCTGAGAAACGAGGGCACTACACTACAAAGAAGCCAAGAGGGGAATTTGTGACGAGCAGTTTGGGTGAGACAAAGGACCCTGAACCCCGTAAACCCAGTACCCAAAGCAGAAATGTTCGTCAAATTACGATTTAACAGGGTTTAATCCAATTGAGAGCGGCCAGCACACCTTCCTTCACAGAGAATCAAAAGCTACCATTTAGACACAATCCAATTAGATCCTTCAACAAAATCAAGCTCGTTTGAATTTTTAGGTGACTATCGGACGCATTTGACGTTAATCGTGGGCAACGGCTAATTAGAAGGTTAATACATGTACTATGACGCTGTAGGTTCAGATCTTTTCTGTGCGCACGGAAGGCGATAAAAGACTTGTGGGTTATGTTCAAATTAGATGAAAGAAAACAGAGGGTTTATTTGATAGTGGTCTATTTTGGTGTGCACTGGCAAACGATGTTACCCGGCCCGATCTGATCACGCAGATCCAATCCATCTGACCAATGGGTATTCCTTCAGACCTGTAGAACACACCTGGAGGCAGCAACAGCCTGTGCTGACCACACTGACCACCATCAGCAGACAGATAGCTCCTGTTTCCGAATGTCATCAAACAATCTAATACGAAACACGCCCAGTTACAACGCGCCAGCATGTGTGTGTGTGTGTGTGTGTGTGTGTGTGTGTGTGTGTGTGTGTGAGTGTGAGTGTGTGTGTGTGTGTGTGAGTGTGAGTGTGTGCGTGTGTGTGTATACGTGTGTGAGTGTGTATACGCGTGTGAGAGTGTGTGCGTGTATACGTGTGTGAGTGTGAATGTGTGTATAAGTGCGTGAGTGTGTATGTGTGTATACGTGTGTTAGTGTGTATGTGCGTGTGTGTGTGTGTGTGAGTGTGAATGAGTGTGTGTGTGTGTTTTAGTAGATGTTTTACGGCGCTTGCAACTGCATACGGTCATATGAGCGCAAAGGGGTGGATGTGAACAGAAAAGTCCTTACAGGGAATCAGACTTACTATGCTCACCTCTCTAGCTTCAACAGCACAAAGTCTGTTTCGACTATCAAGGCACCCCGGAAATAGTGGGTCACAAGAGAGTGACAAACATACAAAAGAAGTAGAGGAAAATAACAATAGTAAGGATTAGGAAAGAAAAAGCAGCAGTTCCCTGTTGTAGATCAGGCATATTTATGAGCGTGACATTGATGAATCAGCCCATTTACAGTTCTACTGTGCATGAACGAGAAATGCCCCCTCTTTGGGAATGGCATAAAGACACTTCAGTCAGTGGCACCTCCCCGGGGGGTTGTGTGAGTGTGTGTGCGACAGAGAGAAACAGCCAGAGAGAGAGAGACACCGATATATATATATATATATATATATATATATATATATATATATATATATATATATATATATATATATATATATATATATATACAGAGAGAGAGAGAGAGAGAGAGAGAGAGAGAGAGAGAGATATATATATATATAGATAGAGAGAGAGAGAGAGAGAGAGAGAGAGAGAGAGAGAGAGAGAGAGAGAGAGAGAGAGAGAGAGAGAGAGAGAGAGAGAGAGAGAGAGAGAGAGAGAGAGAGAGAGAGAGAGAGAGAGAGAGAGAGAGAGAGAGAGAGCGGGCAG